TCTTAGAAATTCATGTAATTTGAGAACATAACGTGATTTAACTAAAAACATAGCTCATTTGCCAAAACACACCTCAAACAGACTTCTCGACATAAATTCACCCTTTCGATACACCTTATTTTCACCCTTTTTTTCCTAAAACCTCACTCCTCCCCTCCCCTCACTGATTTTGTGCCAATGGCCCTTCCAAACCAAGTTAGATGCTTATGACAAAACTTAGACATCTGTTATGGCTACCATACAAATAAATGGTCAAATTTGTGGCAAGCGCCAAACCGGAAACAAGAAGTAATGTTTAGAATCGTGTAAAAGAAGATTTCACACTCACGAATTCTCCCAGAAGATTTGGATCATAGCCTATGGCTCCCAAATTCTAGCTCGCCCATTTCTGCTCGCGATTAGCTACAATTTGAGTCGTTGCTTATTCGCGTTAGCTCTTCAATCCATGAAACTGATAGCAAGGAGAGGAATTTGAAGGCTCTTGAGTATAGATCTCACCCTTACAATTACATCCAGAGTTCAATATCATGTAAATATGTTATTCGAAAATAGAGCTAGGGAAGATTAGGGAATTTAATTAAGATTAATGAAATTTATTTAAACTTATAACTTTAGAATTTTATATCTTCCATTCCAGTCATAATTCACTTATAGTGTTTTATATTAAATTGATCATTTGACATGTAGAATTTTATAAAAATAATTCGACTGAAATCTAATGCGTATGCCAAATTTGGGATACTTTAAAAATTTGTTGAAGTTTTACATGATTCTCTAATTTTAGGAATTACACCAGTCCTGTTGATGCTCTACTGAATGCCTGCAAAACAATTTCATACTCAGCATTAACACCCATAAACTCGTTACCTCCTAGCACCACCAAGGTTACTTAGGCGGGAGTCTCTCTCCTGGGTTCAGCTGAAATCGCTGGCATTTCTTCCTCATCAGCTAGAATTCGAGCATCCTTTATGAAATCTTCTCCTCCTGGAACACTGTATATTACTTCAACTCCTCTCTGATCAGGTGAAAGAGATCATTCTTCTAATCATGAAATCTAATTCAATATACCAAACCTATGACACTTAAAATACTCTCTAACTGATATAGATTTAGAAATATTAGCTTGATCCACTTGTTTTTTTACTCTGAATTAGTTTCTCCTTAAGCGATATCGGCTTGAATATTCCCTTAAGTGTATTCTTGTTGTAAGATCCTGTGGTTGCACCTTGCCTGTAATATGTGGTCGCTCTGTGATGCCGTCTCTCCACTTTTGAAGTTGGGATCTAAAGATTCGGTCCGTAGTGAACCGGTAAATACTAGCACTGCATCTCCTATTTCACATTGAATAAGGTAGTGATCATATAATTTCCATCACGTTCATGTATGTGCTTCAAATTTTCTTAACAAAATATAGCACCCTTCTTTAGCTTGTTGGTGCCTAGTTTCACCATTCTGTTTGGTGGGACTTCTTGGTACTCAAAGCAAAGTTTCAAAGTGTGAAACTACTTGATAAACTCGTCTGTATCCAACTGGCCATGTAAATATGGAAAATCCACCGTTACTTCAAAATTATGGCTTCTCAGATATTTAAGATCAAATATTCATAGTAGAATCGATGAAATCCACAGTAGAAGAGATCACTTCATTCCTTTGATCTAGTGAGTTGTCGTTGTGGCAGTAGGTGACCCTTCCGAAGTGCCTCATCTTGAAGGTGACAAATCTTAGTTCCAATTGGAGGAATTCTTATCTTACATTCGTTATAGAAGGTTCCATAAGATCTCAGGGATTTCTCATAAACGAGATCACATCCTTTCCTTTTATTCAAGCTATGGCTATTGTCTCCTCGGTGGCATAGCCAAAGTTTGGGTTTGTGTAAATGAAAAATGGTGTATAGGGATGATGTAAGGTGGGAGAGAATTTTTTGATGGTCGGTTTGAAAAATCAATAAAAGGAAGGATTTTTGTGTGGAGTTGGGATCAAGTATTGGTGAATGTTAAAACCCTAGGATGAGACTAGGTTTATGCTAACTCTAATACCAAATTATGCCACAATTAACCAAAACCTCAATAAAAAAGCAAAGATTATTACTAAAAGCAAATAGGTGTTTAAATGGTTGGGGAGCGAAGGTAAGTGACTGAAATAGGTTGTAGGTGGTTGAAACAATAAAAAAAATGAGGGCTAGGATAGTGAGGGGCAGTGATGGAAAAGGACCGTGGACTGTAAGAAACAGGAGTGTGTCCGGTGCGGGAGCAGCAAGTGGGGACTGCAAGGGTAGCAAAATAGGTTGCAGTCTAGGCGACAATAAGTTGGAATGATGGTTGGGCAGCAGTAAAACAACTGATTTGCTATTTTTGGATGGCGACATCGAGTTTCAACGACTGGGAGTGATGTGGAAAGGTTGGGGAAGGATGGAGGTGGCTAAGAGGGATGTCAGCGAGGCGCGGAAGAGAGCATATAATGCAAGAATTGCAAAAAAGAGCCAAAAGAGGTCGTTCCTTGAAATATTGCATCTTGCATTAAAATCTCAAAAAGTTATAAGATTGTTTTGGGCAATTGTAGCTGAGAATGGACGATCGGGAGTAATGTGGGAGGATGCAAAAGGGAATAAAGGAAGATAATCACCACCGCATGTCACGACTAGGTCTGATATCTTAGAATTAACCAAATCTGAAACAATAATCAGTCGATATTAATATTTAAATAACTATCCACAGGTTTCTAGAAACAATAACCAAAACTGTAAGCTTTATTTTAAATTTATCCCTTCTCGTTTTAATAAAGGTATTTAACATTTTTAACATCTTTAGAAGTCATATCACAATTACCATTATAACCAAATTTTTCTTAAAAAATTGCACCCGAAAGTACACCTTTATCGTTTCTTATATTGTGCACGGGTACATTTCATCCCTTCTCAGTACAATCTGGGAGTAATCCCGTATGACAATCTTTTACGTTTCATTTATTTTAATTGCTTTCATTTAATGTCATCAACCCATCGTTTTCCTTTCAAATTTACACTTCATTTATTTCAGTAATTTTTCATTCACCATGTCTCAGATTATAAATCCAGGGATATGAACTAATAATGTAGTTATTCATTAATAAAATCTTATCTTAATACATATAAGAAAATAACTACCAACTTCTTTTAAAGACCGTTATAAGAAACTTATTCTCTCACTTCAATTCTTTGACTATCAACTATCAATTAAAGGTGTAGATAATTGTAAAAATCTCATCCTAAAAGAAAGTCTTAAATATAGCTCATTTATTTAAATATTTTTCATTCAAACAGCTTTCAAAAATATTTTTCATTCAAACAGCTTTCAAATAAAAAAATTCTTCCAAATCTTACCACTAATTCTACTGATGAAAATTTAGAATCTATCTGATGACATATAACTAAAAATGACACTTATAAACAAGTATACAGATCCTTAACTTAAAAGGTTTGGCTTGTTTTCCCGCGCACACAATTTCTCTTTCTGCCTTCAATCTCGAAACTATATCTCCCTTACCTTAAGAACTTCCTAATTTCAAATATATTTACTATTAACTCATAAAGAATAAACTTGAATATACATATAAAATTCATTAATTAAATAATGATATAAAGCCATACTTAAATTACCAAAATTTGCTCAACTAGATAGTCCTCCCCACACAATCTTATAATATCCATTTTAAATTCATAAAACTTTAATACTAATATCATTAAATATTAAATTATATAAATCTATATAATTGATAACATAAATCCTACTCTTACCTTAATATAGGGCTCGGTTGGGCTCTTCCCGCACAGCTTGGCATCTTCTCCTCTCAACAGAGCCGCCAACCCTCTTCCTTCTATTGGCTTCTTCTTCTCTTTCAACTTCTTCTCCTCCTACTACTAGAGTTCGGCATATGAGGCTCGACTCTCTCCTTCACCGTGCACACCTTCATGCAAAGTCGTTCCTCTTCCTTAACACGTGAGCATAAATTCGAAGGCACCTTGACTAGGGCTTGGCTTCCTCTTCTCCTACACGAAGTCCTTGCCCTTTATAGACTGCAACACGGCTCGAACCCACACCAGAGTTTCACAATTAGGGTTCGAGGGGCCGACTCTCCACCAATGGCTTCGATGCTTCCTTTACTTTCTTCCATCATGCATCACAGTCAAAGTTGAAGTGCCTAGATTAGGGCACGACTTCAGTTTTCTTCTCTTCTCTGTCTCCCACTCTCGCTTACTTGTTCTGATCACTTGTTTCACTGGGATTCAAAAGAAGCTTGCTCCTTAAGCAAAACTGCGAAAACGGTTACTTCTCGTGTTGATTCAAAAATTATTTTTCATATTTATTTTATATTGCTATTTTTATATTTATTAATATTATTATTTTAAGAATTCAGCTATTACACCTGATGAGAGAAATACAACCAATGCATCACTCAATCCCTAAGATACAATTATCGAAGTGAAAAAACGGAAGCTAGTGGCTGTCCTAAAAAAACTCACACCAAAAAACTCCCTTGTAAACCCTAATACAGCACAAAATAGGAAAGTACTAGAAAGGAATGAAAGAAAATGAGGAAAATGGTTAAAATTGGAAATAAAATGAAAAAAATAGGGCTGATTGGATTGGTCTTCACATGACCACGAGGGCCACTACATTCCTGTGTCCCACTCATATACAGGAGACGCTCCCGTGTCAATATCAGTCAAAAGCATCTATTTTGACATTTAATTTAAGATAAAAAAGCATAAATCATTGCCTACATTGAACTTCTGCATTCTGTAGGCATTTAAGACACTGGCCTGATAAGACAGATTTTGCTCATTTTCATGCCACCAGATGGAAAAGCTAGAGAAAAGAAGCAATAAGTTTTTTCAGTTAAATCATGCCCATTCAGTAAAATACAGAAAAGAGGCATCATTCCCAGCACAACATTGTGAGATACAAGGTCTTAATTTGTAATTGTTCACTAAATTTTCAAAGATGCTCAAGTAATGTACTTACATCTTTCATTTCACGCAATTCTTCTAACTCTTCTAAATTGCAGTTTAATGAATGTAGTTTGGCATTTCTCATTGAAATTGTAGATTCAACAACATTAAAGGAAGCTGTTAAACTTTCCAATTTCTTCTCCAACTCTGAGACGTTCAGTTGCAGTGTCAGCCGCTCATCTTCAAATTTCTTTATCTTGATACTAATCTGTATGTTAGTAATAAAAAAGTTCAGCTCATGTTGTGCAGATAAGTGAAATTAATTTGGATCTGGCATATTGTAAACGTAAACTTTACAAAGTTCATATTAATCTTGAGAAAAAAAAATACAATGATGTGTTACAAGTTGGAACATCAAAATCTGACAAAAGAAACAACCTCATCAGGATTCTTCTTCTCAAGTTTTTCAAATTTCTCCTCAAGCGATTGTTTCTCCTTAAGCATCACCTTAATAGTATCTTTAGATGCATGCATTTCATTCTTACGCATATTCAAATCGTCCTGAAGTTTTGTTATTGTCTGTACCAAGACAAACAAATAGTTGTCTAATTACATGTTTTTCTGTAGCAATTCAATGGTAAAAAAAAAAGCATGATATTCTTCAAGGAATTTTCTTTAAAAGTTTTTGATAATGCATTGTAAAACCAGAAGACATTTAAAAAATAAAGGAAAATACAACAAAAAAGAAAATACCTGAAAATCACTCAAAATATTCCTTACATAACCAGCATTTCCATGATGATTATCAAAACTATGCATGACTTCTCCAAAAGATAGACATCCCTGTGAGCTCAGTTCTGCTAGTTTGACCTCATTGTTTTGTTTATCCATTAGAGAAGCCTAGTAAATCATTTATACAACAGTATAATATGAGATGGTAAATCATTTTACATAACAATTAAAACATGCAATATACAAGAATGAAGGTGTGACACTAAAGAACTGAAAGTGGTTTTATCATTAAATTTGTGCAACACTCATTAACAATGAAAGAAGTACCTGCAGAGCTGACTCTTTGTCATCACATAATTTTTTAAGTTCATCACGATCACTACTAACTTCTTGTAGGTTTTGCTTCTCAGAATCCAAGGAATCTTTTAGCCTTGCCAGTTCCTTCTGCATCTCAATTTCAAGCTTCTGTCCTGCTTGCAATTCTTCAAGCAACTACACAAAGCAAAACAGTTCAGTGGATCCCTAAAAAAGGGCTACAAATTACGAAGTAGCTGTAGCAGGTAAATCAACCTCAGGCAACAATATTATTAACATCAAGATGCATATACAAACAAAAAAACCAGGTTATACCCACTGTACTGAAGAAAAGCTAAAAATATGTTAATATTTAAAGTTCAACAACTAAAAACTCCAGTCATCATAGGAAAAAAGTGCATATTGTTTATGCATGAAAGCAAAAGACTAATAAAGCATGATGAAACAACAAAGGTGCATCTGAATTTTGTTGTGCAGTTTGAATAAATGATGTAAAGCTTATGCTTCATTGATTCTGCTGAAAAAAAAAAAGCCTCATTGCATTTCATAAGTTTTTATATTAACATGAATTTGAGTTAGTCGAGTCAGCTACAATCCGTCAGTGCAATATGAACAATAAAATTGGCGCTATGTAGAAAACTAGAACAAAATTGTAATGTGTGTTAAATCATTGTAATTAAGAATGGGAAAAAGCATGTGGTGACAAAAAACACCCAATTTGCTTCATTCTGGAGGCAATTTCATGGTGCATTACTGTAAATAAACGGATTGCTCATATTGTCATCAATCCTTGGTGATCCATGACAGCTCTCATGTGGCCATCTTAAATTTTTAGAAAATTAAATGACTGAAAGCTGTAGAATATCTTTATTTTCAAAGTAATTAGTAGTTTCCATAGGTAGATAATATCAATTGCAACCTACAATCCGGTAACTTAAAGAGAGGGGTAAGATCTGTAATAGAAAACACAAAATTCAAATATTTTCTCTGTATGGTATCAGAGCTTTAGAAGCAATAAATCTGGAGTTCTTTTGTGACATAAAGCAACTTTTCCCCAAACACAGCAAGTGCAGCTGATTTGCCCCAAGACCAGTTCAGCCCCAACCAGTCCTTCAAAGCATGAATTTCTCTCCTATTTGGAGCGATGACCACTCTTCTTTACCTCAAGTCTATATATATGTTATTTCTTCATGTTTATGGCATCTTTTTACCATTTTTTTTTTCAAGATAGCCCTTGCGTCCCAGTTTCTACCTTCTATGTTTGTATCCAAAGGTAGGTGTTGCTCCGGTTGTAACTCGTCCGAGGTAGTGATCTTCATCCAAGGTCGAGTAATGCTCCGGTTGTCGCACGAGAGAGTATTTACTTCTACTTACCATCTCCACAACATTCCATTCACCGCCATGTCGCCGTAATTGTTGCAGCCGCTCTGACGAATATTTCCTGTCTTTTTCTGCAAGCTGAGAAGGTGGGAGAGGGAGGAATGTAAGGAGGCCATGACAACATTAGAGCAGGATATAGCCGGAGCACGACTTATCCTCGGATACCATCATTGCAAAACAGATAGACGTTGAAGGAAGAAATCTGAAGCAAAAATTGTACCATAATCAAATAAAACAACATATAAATAATAATAGATAATTAGGAGGGAGAAATCCCTCCCCTAGGGATGCAACCCTAGCCCAAAAACAAAGGTCGGCCTCTCCCGTTGCAGCCCTAGATTGATAGAGACACAGTCACCGAACACTAACGTCGCCTCTCCTCTCCTTCCTCCTCTCTTCCTCAATGGCTAGGTAGAGCACAATCGAGCACCTATATGCACACACAAAAATTCTCTTCCTCCTTCCTTTCTTCTTCAAATTTCAGGACGCACGCCCAAGCTCCAGTCTCACTCGATTTATAAAGAGAAATCTCCACTTTGGCATCCCTACTCCTCGCTTCCTTTTCCCGAATCCTCGTTTCCTATCTCTTATGTTTGACTGCCCGATTCCTCGCATTATTTGCTTCGGTTTTTCGTTTCTTCACCCTCGTAACAAAAATACTGTGCAATGACAATGAACCTATATCTAGTCATTTTAGTACTAATCCATTCAAACTACAGTTGGCAACTAATAGCAATGAGTGTGGGAGATGTAGAAGTTGAAGGAAACCAAGATTCTTTGAAGCATGTAAAGAAGACAATTGAAGAATATCTGAAGCCAACAAGGTCTCTTTTTTCTTTTCCCGTGTCCTTAATAATGCATAACATCGCCTTATAGAGACGTTCATGAAGTGTCATTTCATGTTATTATCTTGCTTTATATTCCTCTATTGCACATTGATTTATAATTTTGTTTATGTTGTTCAATTTGCAGAACTATCATAATATAAACCATGTTGTCATATCAACGTTTAACATTTTAACATATTATTATGATCGTTTACAACATATTCTTAATTGCAATTTAAACAATTTTTATTTCCATGATAATCACATATTTAAATATAACTATCTTTTGTTCACCTACATTTATATTAAAGTAATCTCATGTTCAATTTAGATGACGTTAATAGTTTCTATATATGTAATAAGTGTAACTTAAGATAAATATAAAATAAATAAAAAAAAATGATAATAATAATTGAAACACAATGGATAACAGTCTTTATGGTTATATTTAGGAGCCCAATGTCTCACATGTCAAACCAATTGAATCATACAGCAATATCAGAGAGAGCGAGAGCAGAGGAGTGAGAAGAAGAAAGAAGAAGAAAAAATTGTGTAACCCTAACATGGGGGGGGGTTGACACGGCATTCAATCGAAAGAAGAGATGAAGACACCACAAAGCCAAAGGAGGAACCCGAGTCATACGCGTGGAGGAGGTTGAGGGAGAAGTTGAGGTTGCGGTGTGTTCGTCTATAGGTGACGAGTCAACTGTGTTAGTTTGTGTTGGCGTCCCGTGTGGAAGAAGGTTTTGAATCAAAGATGGAAAATTTTGGACAACTTCAACAAATGCAAGGAAACAATGTAGTCGTGCGTGTTCTTTGTGGGTGAAGGAAGAAAGAGAAGGCTTTTATGTGGGAGCTTTCAACACCTCGTGCAAGCCACTTCGAGCAATAAGGTCAAGCCAAAGCCCAACGATGCTACCTCACATTTATTGTGCAAAGGAGATGAGTAAAAAGGAAAATCATGAGAGAAGGTGACCAAACCAAGCACAGTGAAATAAAGGTAAGGGTCTAGGTTTTCTTTATACAAATTATTGTAGAAATTTGGAAAGAGCTTTATTTGTGGCTCTCATACATACATTAAACTTTGCTACACATATATAACATTGAAGGAAAAGATAGGAATCCAACAAAAATAAGAAAAGAAGATAAAAATATTTAATAAAGAGAATATAAGTAATGAAATATATTCTGAAGAAAGGAAATATATTATATCCCGATACGGATTGACACTTTCGAATACTCCCACTCAAGTTGGGTTATAGATATTGTATAAACCAAGCTTGGACAAATATCAGCAGTCTGAATTCATGTATGAATATAGCTGAGCTGAGCAATTTCATTGTTAACATTTCTGAGATGAAGTGTTAGTCAATCTCGATGTGTTTTGTTTTTTCATGATGCACATGATTTTTGGCTATACTAATAGTTGTTTAGCTATCAGTAAATATCTTAATTATGTCTTTTATCTTAATCTTATGTTCCCTTAATAGCCTTTAAATCTATATTCCCTAGCATACTTCTAGTGCAGGAGTACAATATTCAGATTATGCACTGCTCCAAGAGACAACTACTTGATTTTTGCTTCTCCACATGATGAGATTGAACCAGCCATATGAATAGTATCTAGTGCTTGATTTACTATAAGTTACCTCACCAGCTTAGCTAGTCTTTGTGTATATCTCAATCTCATAGTTTTCATATCTTTTGAAGAACAAATCGCATTAAGGAGTCATCTTCAAGTATCTCAAAATTCTTTTCACTACTTTCAAATGATCCTCAGTTGGGTTTTTTAAGTTTGCATTAGTAAAAATAAATAAAAAATTACAAAACCATGCCTCTTATATTACATGTATGTGAACTATAAAATAAAAAAGGTCATGTGAACTATTCACATCAAAAAGCAAAAGGCTATAATTTGGGTTAGTCATGTGTTGTCTTACTACACTGATTGAGTATGCAATATGAAGCCATGTATGATAAGTAATGTAATTTTCCCACAAATCTTTAACATTTTCTTTTATAAGAAGGATATTTTTCGTCACTCTGTTTAGCCTTTTAATGGAATCCATATGTTTTTTAGTATAATAACCAATTTCTGAGAAATTTGATAAAATTTTGGCAACTTAAATTGTACCCCAATTTTCATACCCCTCAGATTTCAATTGAATCTATTTTATAAAATTATACACAAAAAATCAATCAAATTCATGTAAAACACTATATGATATTATGAATGGATTTGGAGATATGAAATACGTAAGTTATATAATTTGTTAACTTAATTAAGGGTGTATTTGCGACAGCTTATTTATAGTGGTGGCGTTTTCAAAACGTCATCACCTGTTTGAAAATATCATTCCTACAACTTTTTGTAAAACTCCGTTATGATTTTACCATTAGACGCGGATCGTGGGTAGAACCCCGCGAACCTCTGCCCTAATTTCGCAACAAGCAGCGAGTCGATCCCGCACGCCGCAGCACTCCTGGGTCTCCATCTTTGGCAATCGTTCTCACAGGTAACCTTTTTTTTTTCCTCATAAATCCTCTGCCGCTACTCTGCTCCGGTTTGCATTTTTCCGTGAAGATGACGCTCCAAAGGCTTTCTGTTTTACGCTGCTTCTCCGTTTGTGTTCCTCCTATTGTTTGTATTTTATTATTATTATTTTTTTTTTGCTGTGGAAGTTGGCTTTGGAAACTCGTTTCAGCTTTTTCACTATGCTAAGCCATGCCTCTGATCTTTCGCATTTTTTTTCTTTTTTTGTTGTAGAAGGATTCGTGTGAATCTGATTTGGGAATGTGTATGACTCCTTCTATACATGTTTATGAAAAGTGTTGATCTGTTAGTTCTTATTTCTATACTTCTCATTTTTCTAATACTATTGTTTTGCTTTCCTTGATGGAATTGAGAGATCTTGGTGAACAGTTTTATGATCGTTTTCTAGAACATCTTGCTTCTTTTGTCTCCACTCT